TATTTGTAAGCTGTAGCCTGTACCGTAGGGCTGTGATACAAGATATAAGTCCAGTGCACAGCTGCCTCGGCTACAAAGTACGTAATCGTTGGTCGTTAGATACAATTTAGTCCTTAGCGGTGTGAGAATCGGTTACCTCCTGGACGATGCTGGTTTGCAATTTACGGTAAACGATGCTATTGTCATCGAAGATCCACACGATTGAATAAGGACTCGCCTGCATGGTGCACCAACGTCCAACAACAACAGCCAACACAACAGCCTGAAAACTCCCTTCATCGTGATCGTGCTTCCACTTCTGGATCAACCGATGTGGTTCGTAGAAAATATCGTCCTGTTACAGCTCACAAGCATTCGGGTAATCTTGCAGAGCTCAAGTCATCAGTGCATTTGCATAGCCGCTAAATACAGGCACGTCTCGTTTCTCCTGCCGCGTAATTGGAAATCCCTACTTTATCTTCGGCCAATGATATTCGCTCAAATAAGTGCACTTCCGTACTCTGCTGCCGGGGTTTTGTGTAGACAATTTTTGGAAAAGGCTTCGTTGTGAGGATTCTCTCTAACTTTACATAACAGAGTGAATGCCGGGCTATAAAAACGGTAGCACTGACAAGGATTAGAGCGAGTAATACCAATTATTAGTAAGAAATGCTTTATATTCGCTGATAACTTAATCAACGCACACTGCGCAACCAAACTCCAAATAGATTTTTCTCAATAAATCGTTATCGCTGTTGCCATCTACCTGGAAATATACTTTTATCTTTTGCATCTTCTGCAGCATCGAAAAAGAGGATGCAGCGAATACTAGAGAGTGAAATCTGATAGAAATACACTGATCCAAAAAAAGATATTAATACTGTTTGCTATCTACATGCCATTTTAGATGTGTCGCCCCCCTCGGCTCACGAAGTGTTCAACGCGTTGAAATCGTACCACCAAAAGACGACGCGTTCGGTACGAGTTTCTTTATTGAAGAAGTTGTGTGCGGTAAACCTCCCCGAGCGCGGAAATATGGAGGAACATTTGCGTGAGATAGACGATCTTTTCGATCGTTTGGACGCTGCCGGCACGGAATTGGACAAAGACACAAAAGTGTGCATGCTCCTGAGAAGTTTGCCACCCTCGTTTGATGGTATTGTTACGGCTTTGGATATTGTCAAATCCAAACTAATGGATGAATATCATCGCCGGTTGGAGCGTGAGGGTGTCGGCACCGGGTCGAAATCGGAGAAAGCAATGCAGTCGGTAAACAATAAATCGAAAGAATCGCGTGTGTGTCACTTTTGTAAGCGCGCGGGACATTTGCGACGCGATTGCCGAAAGTTCAAGGCACAGAAGGCAGAAAGTGGTGCGGAAAAAGGAACCCCTAAAGCGAAAGCCGCTCCGGGCGACGGGAGAAGTGTTGCCTTTACCGGTAGTGAAAGTGTACGATCGTCGTCGTGGGTGATTGACAGTGGGGCTAGTGCCCACATGACAAACAATCGTGAGTTTTTCGAGTCATTAAGTGACTTCTCTGGTGGGTGGATTACGCTCGCCGACGGACAGAAGACGAAGATTCTCGGAGAAGGTTATGGAATGCTTCGTGGTGTGGATGGTTCAGGCAACACGGTGAAGATCGACATGCAGAATGTGAAATTCGTTCCGGGGCTGTCGACAAGCTTGATATCAGTAGCCAAGTTGGGAGAAAAGAACCTTGCAGTGAATTTCGATGGTGAAGGCTGTCGGATTGCTGATGCAGGAGGAGACGTCGTGGCGACAGGCTATCGCTACGGTGGTTTATACTACCTTCGGACGGTGGAGGTTTCCAACAAGGCAGCAGCTGGTGAGCACCACGAAAACTGCCAGCATCAGTGGCACCGGCGGTTTGGCCACAGAGACTGGGCAGCGGCTGAACGACTCTTCAAAGAAAAACTGGTAACCGGCGTTAAGGTAGGTGACTGTGGCATGCGACTTGTTTGTGAATGTTGCCGCTAGGCAACCATTTCCCCCGGTGCCGGAGCGTAAATCCAAACGAATCCTCGACATCGTGCATACCGATTTGTGTGGGCCGATGAAAACCACGACTCCAAGTGGTAATCGTTTCGTCATGCACTTGATCGACGATTATAGCCGGTTCACGGTGACATATTTGTTAAAGCACAAATCGGAAGCCGCACAAATCATAAAGGATTACGTTCGATGGACGCAAAATGTGTTTGGCCGGAAGCCTGGAGTTATTCGTTCCGACGGAGGGGGCGAATTTTGCAACAATGACTTGAAGAGCTTCTATCGTGCCGAGGGTATCATGGCGCAGTTCACGACACCGTACGCTCCCCAGCAAAACGGTGTGGCCGAACGTAAAAATCGGTCTATTACGGAGATGGCCACATGCATGATGATCGACTCTGGCATGAATGAGCGCTACTGGGGGAGAGGTGGTGTTGACCGCAACATATTTGCAAAATCGTTTGCCTTCCAGAAGTGTACCAAAAACCCCCTACGAGCTCTGGTGGGGACGTAAGCCGGATTTGTCTCACCTTCGCATCTTCGGATCAGAGGCCTATGTCCACGTGCCAGATCAGAAGCGTGGAAAGCTGGAGGGAAAATCGAAGAAGCTTCGATTTGTAGGTTATTCGATGGATCATAAATAAAGCCTACAGATTTGTGAATTGCGAGACTGATCTCATCACCCTTAGTCGCGACGCCCACTTCGTCGAACTGGGGAATGGCACTTCATCGTCCGATATTCCGCTGAAGTTTGAAACCCATGGAGAGCAGAGAGCGACCGTTAAGGAGGATAATGATCCACTGAAGCTTGAAGATGAAGAGAAACTTGTCCCGGAAGCAGAGGAAGAAATTCAAGAAGAGAAATCAGTTCAGGTGGAACCTGTTCGTCGCTCGCAGCGTCAGACGCGTGGCATGCCACCACGGAATCTGGATGATTATGTACTCGATTACGCCGTCGGGAACATGGCTTGTGCCTCGGAGGATCCGATCAACGTACTGGAAGCGCTGAAGATTGAGGAATGGCGAAATGCGATGGAAGACTAACTGGACTCACACAAGCGGAACCAAACGTGGGAACTCGTTCAATTGCCGAAAGGAAAGAAAGTCGTACACGGACAGAAAATTGTTTGCATTGAACCAAAAAAAAACTTTATTTGTATTTACACAAACAATTCCGGTTGAAATTATATTGCATTTTATTGTTTGGATAATATTTATTCAAATAAATTAAAAATAAGATTCTTTTGTTTTCATAAGCCACTCTTCAACTGCAACTATTGTAAAAATAACAATATTCTTTTATCAAGCCAACAATAGTTAATTTTAATTTAACATTTATTTGTTGTGTCAATTCCCCGGGCCATGAATGCAAAAATAACTACCAACCATTCCCTCGTGAAAACCCGGACAAAAATGTAAACAATAACAAAAAATTTCTCGTTTGATTCAGCTCTAGAGGTAAGTAAGTATGCTGCTGTTGCAAAATATAAACAGTTTTTCTTTTTTTCCTTGATTTTTTCCGTCGATCTTATTTTCAGTACTGAGTACCAATGCTCCCAACGCCAGGAAGGCCGCTCCCACACCTGGACCCTACCTATCGACCCATCAACTCATGAACCGGAGAGATTTTATGCCTCAGAAAGTTTTTTTTTTATTTAATTGTAATTCTGTTGGTAACAAATAGAAAACAAAACATAAAAATAATCGCAAATTATTAAAAATTGAATCAATAAACATATTCTTATTTCTACTGCGTATATTTTTAGGCTTAATAAAATAAATATATATAACTCGGAGACGAGCCAGCCAACGGCTGAAAGTCTCCTTAATAAAGATATATAAAAAAAAAATATGATTGAATCAACAAGAAATCTCTTTTAAAAACAAACATATTTTTTGTTGACCCAGCTGCCAAATTTGACAGCTTACGTCAAAACCATAAAAGCTCTTGTAAATTCGAAAAGATTTTCTTTTTGATTTAACAATCCATGGGTTTTTAAAAACAAAGATACTGGATTGTTGAAATAATAATGATTTCATTTTGCAGCCAAAACAAAATCAAATTCTTATTAAATTTACGTCAAATATTATTACGTTTAAAATATTTTTTTCTGCGTGTAGGATCACGCTGGGTGTATAAGCTGAAGCGCGACGAAAATGGCTCAAGGTTTTTCACAGAAGTTCGGCGAAGATTTTGAGGATGTATTCGCCCCTGTCGCTCGACACGCAACGTTTCGTACACTGTTGACCATTGCATCCAAGCGGAAGATGGCTGTGAGACATCTAGATATCAAGACGGCATATCTTTACGGCGTTTTGGAAGAAGAGGTATACATGAGCCAACCGCCAGGATATGCAGTGCCAAGCAAGGAAGACTACGTCTGCAGACTCAAACCATAGAGGTAACTCTAAGACAAGTAGGTCCCAAAGAAACGTGCTCAACTTTTTGGCTCACCTCTGGTACTATCTTCGGTCCCAAGCTTGTCGAATCACCCCTCGAAACATAGGAAAAACCAATAACCCCTCATTTTATCTGTCAAACTTTCATAGCGAATCAAAACAAACATTGCGTAGTACTAGAATTTCGACTAGAATAGGGTACGTTAATCGTTTGCTTGGGACCAATAGGCTACTAAAGTGGTGAGCCAATTTAAAATCGTTAGTTTCGTATTGATTGTTGCTCAAACGGAGCATCTACGAGTTACGACAGTCCGCACGTTGCTGGCACAAGCGACTCCATGATGTGCTGGTCAACTTGCAGTTTAAACAATCATCGGCCGACCCTTGCTTGTATGTGAGAGATTGTGGAAGAGCTAAGGTGTTTTTACCGAGGTTTTTACTCGTGTACGTCGATGACATGCTGCTAGTGTCGGCGAGCTCCGGTCAGCTGGAGGCGGTAACGTATAGACTGAAAAATGAATTCGAGGTTACGTGTCTGGGAGATGTTCGCCAAGCTGCTGCAAGCTGCTTGAAGACCACGGTATGAGTGATGCAAAACCTGCCAAGGCGCCATGGACGTGAATTACGTCAAAGTCGAAGATAAAAGTGAGTTGCTGAAGGATGCCTCGAGGTACAGAAGTGTCGTCGGAAGCCTATTGTACCTCTCTGTAGTGGCTCGACCTGATATTGCCAACAGTGTGTGCATTCTTGGAAGAAAGTTTGCAGCACCCACGGAGCAAGATTGGGTGGCGGTGAAAAGAGTGATGAGGTATCTCAAAGGCACGATCAGCTGCAGTCTGCGTTTGGGCGGTGAAGATAGTCAGGCGTTGCTGGGTTTTTCGGACGCCGACTGGGCCGGCGATTTGACAACTCGCAGATCGACCTCGGGATTTGTTTTTATGTTTTCCGGTGGAACGATCTCGTGGGCAAGTCGTGGTCAAGCTAGCGTGACACTTTCGTCAATGGAGGCGGAATATATTGCCCTCAGCGAGGCCTGTCAGGAAGTAGCCTGGTTGAGACAACTATTGTCGGATTTCGGAGAACATCAGAAAGAAGCTACTATAATCCGCGAAGACAACCAGGGTTGTATCGCCTTCGTTGAAACGGAGCGTGTCAACCGAAGATCTAAACATATCGATACAAGGCAGAAATTTGTGCAGGAGCTATGTTTGTCGGGTCAGATTGCACTCCAATATTGCCCAACGGATCAAATGGCGGCTGATATACTTACAAAGCCACTGGGACCGCAGAAGCATAACCGTTTCTGCATCATGTTATCCCTGGAGTAACGGAGTTCCTGATGACGGATGCTACTCATCGAGGAGGAGTGTTATACCCCGTTCACATTACAGTCTATATCACGTAATATAGGCTGTCTTGCAATGAGCACTTATACATAGGATTTCCAGTGAAAACTAGATGTATGAGTGCTCATTGCAAGACACCGTATATCACGTGATAAACGCTGTAATGTGAACGGGGTATTAGGAGCGATGATTACCTCCTGACAACTACGCGGTGCATCCAAGCACCCCCGGGTGAGTACACAGCAAAAAAAATGTAATATCGATCAATGTAATTCAAGCTGATGTATGAAATAATGATGTAATAGCAAAAAGCAGATGCAATATTACATCAATGGATGTAATTTTGTTCGCAAAATCGATGTACATCGTACAACGTTATATTACACAACCGATGGATTGACCTGGTTGCAGCAGTTTGGATGTAATATTCAACAACTTTTTTTTTCTGTGTACGATCTCTTATCGCATCGTCTTACCTCACGGTAAGTTTGACAGCTATTCTTACTATTAAAAGCACGTTTCCCGCGTACGGTTTATTATTCCTTTTACGTGAAATACATTGTTCCTTTAAAAGTTAGTCCGCGTGTTTATTTCACCGTTCCGAATCCGAACCTGGTTTCGCTGGTCCACTGCGCTGCTCCACCTGGTCGTATAGTCGTCAATTACTCTCCAGTCTGGACAGCGTATTATCAACAATCAATACGAAACTAACGATTTTAAATTGGCTCACCACTTTAGTAGCCTATTGGTCCCAAGCAAACGATTAACGTACCCTATTCTAGTTGAAATTCTATTACTACACTATGTTTGTTTTGATTCGCTATGAAAGTTTGACAGATAACATCAGGGGTGTGTGGATTCATGCAGAACATGCAGGGGTGAGTGAAATAGCTTGGGACTGCTTGGGACCGTTGTTCTGGTACTGAGTGAGCCAAAAATAATAATGATTTTCTTCGGGACCCAGTGGTCTTAGAGTTAAACGCTGTCCAGACTGGAGAGTTATAACAGGTTATAACGGTTGTCAAATAATTGCAACACAGAAACCACCATCAAGATAGCGCTATAACATGTTATAACTCTGTAGTCTGAACGTACTATTACCTCTATGGTATTATAGTACGTTCAGACTACAGAGTTATAACATGTTATAGCGCTATCTTGATGGTGGTTTCTGTGTTGCAATTATTTGACAACCGTTATAACATGTTATAACCGAGGGGGACGAAAGTAACCATTCTACATTTCATTTAACAGATTTAACTAAAATTTGCTAAATAATTCAGAGTTTTTGGATAAACTTGATTCATAATGAATAATAACACGTGCCTGCCGGTATCATCCGATTTCATCCACTATTCTTCGATAATCTTGGATGTGTTAGAATTATCTATCTGTTTACTCTAATATGTTTTAGTGTGTTTATGTTTACTGTCACTTTCATGATCGCGCGGTTTTCGCATTCGGTCGAAAAAATCGCAAATCAAGCTGCAAATTCTTCTAGGCCACTACACTCTTCCCCGGAGTAACAACAAAAATCACCCTTACCTGCCAATCTTCCGTTCAGCAAAACAGTTCCGTTTAGTTGATGCAGTCTTCGACTCCAAGCAGTGGCAGAAGATCGGATACTGGAAACATGACCGGAAAAGGATCCAGCAGATGCGCTTCTCAGGTTTCTAAATTGAATTCCAACGTCTGAAAGAACTCATCGAGGACAGGACTAGCATCCACCCCCGGGGTCAAGTTAGCCAATCTGCACTTTAAACGGTATCCGGCTTAAATACTCATCCCCTCCGTCTTCTGTCTCTGGTCCATGACCGCCGTCCCATTTTCTGACCCATAGATTCCGATTGCGCTAATCTACCTAAATATCAGCGACAACGCGTCGCAAATCCCCCATCCCCGGTTCGCAACTCATCAGCAGCAGAAGAAGAAACTTAACGCCGGCACTCCGCCTGTACCGCTCCCAACCAACAACCTCTCTCGCAAGATCGAACCGAGTACTCCCGAAATCCAGCCGTCAACCACAACTCGTTTGGTCTTACCAAGGGTCTTACAACCACCTCAACCTCCTACCCGCAGGATGCTCAATTATTTCATGATTTTCAGCCATGCAAGTATCCAAGCAAACCTGGTGCTGCTCGGTCAGACGTCGGTTACACCTATTTGGACAGAACCCGTTATGCAGGTTGCGATTCGTGAACTCGAAGCACCCACATTCCTCATCGAACTCTGACGAAATCCACCTCAACATCTCGACACTGAGCGTTCATAAGGGCCAATGTTGTAAACGTAAGCAATGGCTTCTTTCTTAAATTTCCCTAATTCAAAGTCTATCCAGCGAGTTTTCATCTTTGAGAAATTCGCGGAAGAAGTCATTGTTTACGTTTGCGACATTGGCTTTTGTGAAAAAGCAGCAGAGAGTTGTTAGTTGTAATCTAAGAGGAAGAGGAGACAACTGGCTTCTTGCTCTTTTATCTCTATCTATATCTTACGCACTACAAATCAGCCAATCACGAGCTGGTTCGCGTTTGACAGAAAAGTGTTTCGTTTTCACCCCCGTATTGTCTCCTCTTCTCTTAGGTTGTAATGATAAATAATCTGTCATGTGATAGATAGAGATGTCACCCGATATATTAGAGATGTGATCGATAAAAAGCCGATATTATTAATTTTAAAGATTTGAACGCGATTATTTCGGATAAAATAAATTTGCATGGATTTAAATCAATTCATCAAACTAAAAGGTATTTTTGGATAAAATTTGAATAAATCTGGGACTTTCGTCCCCCTCGGTTATAACTCTCCAGTCTGGACAGCGTTTTAATCACGGTTTCCTTTTTTACAGTTTTCGAACTGTAAATCACAAAAACTACCGAACATTCAGCTGTTCTCAATAACATTACTGACGTTCATTAGTTTTTGCAAGAAACTACTGAATGCGGTAATAGTAATTACTGAATTGACCGTAAAATAACAGTTTTACGGGGAATGACCAAAACTCAGTTCAATAGAACCATTTAAAATCGTTAGTTTCGTATTGATTGTTGATAGAACACCGAGTTTTCAGTGCTAATTATGTTTTACTGAAACATTCTTCAAACGAAATTCCAAAATTACTGGTCACACTAGTAAATTGGACTCCTTTACGTCATTCTCCTTCGTTCCACCTCGCGCACTTGACTTCAGAAATTTGTTAAACGACTGGAAGTCAACGCAGGAGTGCAGAATCATTCGCGAAATCCGGCAGTTTCTGCACTCCTACATCGACTTCCAGATGTTCCATTGAATTTACGGCCAAGAATTTCAATTGTGTGTAGCAGTGCTCCAGACTTAGGCACGCAATCTGGCACTCCAAGAAAGCAACCAGCCGGCTGAACCACGAGGAAGTATTGAGCGCTAAAGCTGAGTCCCCTAATAAAAATCTTAAAAAATCCGAAATAATATATTTACTACTCATTGATATGTATTCATCAAAATACTGAAAAACTCAGCAAAAAATAATGTAAACAAATAAATTACTGAAAAAGTCAGTAATTCTTTAACTGACTAAAACGGTAAATTTTGACATTTCAGGGTTTTTTTTCCATTTACCGAGTTTTCAGTTAAACCAAAAACTACTGAATTGATTGCTGAAAACTCAACTACACAGCAAAAAAATGTAATACCGATCAATGTAATTCAAGCTGATGTATGAAATAATGATGTAATAGCAAAAAGTAGATACAATATTACATCAATGTATGTAATTTTGTTCGCAAAATCGATGTACATCGTACAACGTTATATTACACAACTGATGGATTGACCTGGTTGCAGCAGTTTAGATGTAATATTCAACAATTTTTTTTTTCTGTGTATGTATCGCGAAATGGTTGCCTGTAAATTAATGATTACCAATTCGCGATATTTTACACGTAAAGTTGACCGATAATTCAAAACCATCCATGGGCCTTAGGGGCTGTTCATAAACTACGTAGACAGTTTAGGGGGGGTGATTGGCAATTATCCACGGCCCATACAAATTTTAAAATTTTTGTATGGAGAATTGTCTACGTAGGGCCGGTAGTTTTGAACCTTTCGTCTGTGAATCGGTAGGCATCTCGAAAATCGGTGTCTGGCCACCCTGAGCTATAGTCGCTATATTCATAGTCTGGCGGATAGAATATCGATCCATCAAAAAGCGGAACCAATTCAATATATTTTAAACCAATAATTGAAAAGGTACTATCAACTTTTATGAACAAAACGTTGATTATTCTTTCCTCGCCAGTCGAACGCAAATTATCAGCATCATCGGATAGGGGAAACTTTTCTCAACCCAAAGATGGTGTTAGTTTGCGTAGGCGAGCCTTGAGTTACGAGAAAAGGGTTTCCGAAGTTTTGTTCGGAATTGCAGATGTGCTCTTTTCTGTTGTTGTTCGTGATTTGCTCGATTGGTTCCGCTATTTGACAGCTCAATTGGTTCCCGAGATTCTATCCGCCAGACTATGAATATAGCGACTATACCCTGAGCACGTCCCCCCAGGTAAAGCTAAAGCCCTACAGTAAAAGTATGGACGTCTGTTAAAAGTTGTTCCGATCGAACCGTCAAAATGTAAAGTCCTACAGCAAAAGTATGGACGGCTGTCACCACAAAACTGAGAAAAGCTGTTCCAATCCAATGAGTACAGAAGGAGGTGAAGCAGATCGTGAAATATGGTTGTATTAGTAATCCAAAAAATCAACGTAAACGCAAGTAGTGACGTCACTAATTGCTTGTATCGTACAGGGGTTTTACTCACACAACTTAACCGATTGCTTCACCTCGGTAATCCAGCTCATTGGTTCCAATCGAGCAAAGCGGTGCTCTAATAAACGGGTATCAAACACTAACAATATCATAGATGGTACGACCATACCACATAAAGTTGAGATGATGTTTATGCGGGTGCATTTTGACGGTTCGATTGGAACTTTTGACAGACTTCCATACTTTTACTGTAGGGCTTTATCAAAATGCATCGCTTTGCTCGATTGACCACTTTGTCAAGCAGTTTTGGCGTGACTTTCTACCAGCGATTTCACAAAACTGGACCAAATAATTTATATTTTTTTATGAAACGCACAAATTTTGGCTACTTTTCTCGAGGTTCTAGAAGAAAAAATCTCAAAATAATGTTTTATTTCAAAGTTCGAGTGGTAGTAAACGTCGTTTTAAGAGCTCGAATAAAATGGTTAATTGGAACCAATCAATGAAATTTATATAAGGTCTGGGCCAACAGGCAGCTTGCTGGTGTTAGAAGCAAAAATGTTGTAAACATTGCTGAACATCTGCGAACAGATAGATATACGTCACTGCCAACATACTGAGAACAGATAGATATACGTCACTGCCAACAGCTGTTTCGTGTAAAAAGATAAACATTGCAATATATACGAACACCACTAACCATTTGCACATTTCACTAACACCAATAAGCCCTTTGGCCCAGACCTTATATAAACGTCATTGGTTCCCAATTGGATTGGAACAGCTTTTTTCAGTTTTGTGGTGACAGTCGTCCATACTTTTAGGGACTTGTACCGCGTATTATAATAAGCATTCGTGGTCACTGTGCTGTCGAATGCTATCTTAGTGTTCTCGGTTCTTGAAGATCGGTAAAATTTATTTGGAATTTTGTTTGCAATTCAAGGTGAGCATTACAAAGCATTATGAAAAATACTATTTGTGAATTCTTCGTATATACATTCAATCAATTCATTCTTATCTGATTATTTATTATTCGACTGTATTAAATTTTATGTGGATAGATGAGAGTTGCCGCCGAAGAACTCTTCCTAACGAAACGTTTTTTGTCTATGAAATCCATCATCAAATTTAATTTATTGCATCTTGCTATATTAATTTAATTAAGTGAATTAAGAAGCTTCATAATGGAATTCTTCTCGTGGTAATTTATAGACAACATTATTTATGTTTTGTTTGTGGTGATGCTGTGAATCAAAATGGAGAAAACGGTGAAACGGTAGCAGCAAGGTGACTACATATAGGTATTCTAATGTGTCAAATTCATGATTCAGCCATGTTGGATTTTTGTATGGGAAAGCGTGTTTGTTTACAATTCGCACTCCCCCCCCCCCCCCCCGCGACCTCCTCGCCTATATAGTGACAAAGCTGTATCACCATTTATATACCCACCATGGGTAGCAGTATCAGTGTTGTCAGCTGAATATAAGAAAAGGAAATAATTAATTCTTTGGATAAACGATAAAGAAGGGAATATTCCCTTCTTTGAATATATAAACGAAAACATCATTAATTCGCTAAATATATGATTAAGGAGGGAATACACTGAAGTCTTTTTTTACGCGGTTTTTTTACACGGTTTTCCACGATTTACACGGTACGTTTTTAACGATTTCTCGACAACGATACAACCTATCGACTTGATTCCAATCACATTAGCCGTTTCAAGCTATAGGTAATCGAATGGCATACTTAAAAAAATCACAATTTTTGGTGTAAATACAGAAATTTTTTAAAATATGTCTATATGGACCATATCATGCTTTAATTACAAATGGCATCAAAATCCGATTTTTTAAAAACATTTAAGCATGCGAAAAATCAAAATCTCGTAGTTTTTTTTACACGGTACGTATCCCCCGTGTAAGAAAAGACCTGAGTGTATTCCCTTCTTTGAAAATATAAGAAAAGGAAATAATTTATTCTTTGGATATACGATAAAGAAGGGAATATTCCCTTCTTTGAATATATATAAAAGAGAAAATAATTAATTCTTTGGATGTATGATAAAGACGGGAATATTCCCTTCTTTTAATATACAAGGAAAATATATAATTGATACCTAGCTTTTCGCAAGGGATTCGGGGTAATGACCATTTGGGACAATAACACGCAGAAAAATTTATCGTTGTTACAAAAATATTTGAGGTAAATTTAAACATAATCTCAGTTTGTTCTGGCCACAAAAATAATCAATATTAATGTTTAAAATAAAAATAATGTTACGTTTATTTTATTCGTGTTGAAAATAAACGTGAATATTTTTGTTTGGTTTGACAACAATGCGAACAAAAATACATAAATATGTTTATTTTAAACATGCTTCTTGTGTTTGAAAGAAACATACTTAATATAAAATTATATTAGCATTTGAATGTAAGATAAAGCAGAAAAATGGATTGCAAAGAGATGAAAAAACGATCTGCAGGAAGATCCCGAATTCAGTTTGATTGCAATGCTCGTTGCAATGTAGGGTTGGAAATGCAGGAATCGAAAGAAGATGAGGATGATGAGAAACCGTTGAGTTCGGTAAGGAAGGAGGATGAATATAGCACTGATTTTAGTAAGAAGTTGATCCAACAAATTAATCAGTCGAGTCAGGATTGTGTGAATATGATAAAGCTTGCTGAAGTTTCGAAGTGAATGGAAAATGAGCGGATGAAGTTGGAGCACCCAAGTAACAATTTCCAGTTGAAGAAACGCTTTCGTTTTGATTTTGTTCAGCTGCATGTTGAATAATAATTGCACAATGTGTTCACCACAACTTTTATAAAACCCTTGTTTACACTGGTTTGTAGAATCTATACAACTGCAACACAAAGGTGTTGTCTAACGTATTCAGTAAAACGTTTACCCAAAATCAATTTCTTGTTGAAGAAACGCTTCCATTGTGATTTTATTCAACTGCATGCTGAATAATAACTGTACAATTTGTTTATTACAACTTCTGTAAAGCTCTTGTTTACACTGGTTTGGAGAACCTGTTCAACTACAGCATTATATGTATACGCGGTATAGGAGTAGAAGCAACTTTTATACAACGTTTATAGATACATATTTAAACTCAAGCTTTATTATTTTGCTGAAAGCTCTTATACAACGTTTGTAGACACTTCTTGACAGCCGCTTTGAAATTTAGTAGAGAGTAAACCTGAGAGGCGTTTGTTACACTCTTTTATGACTCCTAAATATTAATTGAACAGCAAGCGGTGAAAAGCGTTTATAACACTTTTCAATGATTTCTTAATAACCGGATAGAAGCAACTTTTATACAACGTTTATAGATACGTATTTAAACTCAAGCTTTATTGTTTTGGTGAAAGCTCTAATACAACGTTTGTAGACACTTCCTGACAGCTGTTTTGAAATTTAGTAGAGAGGAAACCTGAGAGGCGTTTGTTACACTCTTTTATGACTCCTAAATATTAATTGAACAGCAAGCGGTGAAAAGCGTTTATAACACTTTTCAATGATTTTTTAATAACCGGATAGAAGCAACTTTTATACAACGTTTATAGATACGTATTTAAACTCAAGCTTTATTGTTTTGGTGAAAGCTCTAATACAACGTTTGTAGACACCTCCTAACAGCTGCTTCGAAATGTATTAGAGATTGAACCTGAGAGGCGTTTGTTACACTCTTTTATGACTCCTAAATAATCACTATACAGCAAGCGGTGAAAAGCGTTTATAGCACTTTTTAATGACTCCTTAATAACCGTTGTGTAAGTACTCACAATATTCACAGATTAAAATTAATTTAACAATTGTCGTGGTACGCCAAAATAATTGCTTGTACAGTTTTTATTAATTTAATTTATTTGTGCACATTGAAAAAATATGTAATTATGCCATAATTCACATTCTGTGATCATGGAGGAAGCAGTAACAAGCATCTGTTTAATCTTTGATTGATATTCTTTCAATTAATCTCTCTAATCATTAATTGAGAGAATTTATCTAGAAATTTTATCGTTGATTATATGATATATGTCTTAAATTAATGTTTGCATTTATTAATAACACCTATATATAATTTACCTCTACTCCACCAAAGGTTTCTCGAAGCAAGATTCGAACTCATGATCCCGGATTGCCAGCCGCTTCTGTTTCCATCTGCTCTATTCTTGAATACATATTTTGATCAAATGAGAGAAGTATATGAAGCTCATCTTGAGTGACTTCTCTTGCAGTCGAATAATCATTGCCTTATGGTCATATAAACGTGCCTATCACTTGTGCTATTTTTAGCAACAAAATTGTGGTTGGTGGTTGGTCGAACGTAAACAATCATTTAAGAGTGCTCCAAGCAGCTTTTGAAGCTTTTAACCAAATGGCAATACAACTACATTCTTGTACAACTCTGGAAGCTATTATTCAATGTTTGATCAACTCAGGTGTTTTATAAGATCTTCCAATGGTTTGTTTTGATGCGTTTATTTCACGTTCTATATAGCTCTTGTCAATCAGTTTAACAAAGGTGCTATAAAAGTTATCGTAGGTCTTATAAAGCATATAGTTAAACCGAACGTAAACAATCATTTAAGAGTGATCCAAGTAGCTTTTGAAGCGTTTAACCAAAAAGGCAATACAACTACATTCTTGTTCAACTCTGGAAGCTATTATTCAACGTTTGATCAACTCAGGTGTTTTATAAGAGCTCCCAATGGTTTGTTTTGATGCGTTTATTCCACATCCTATATGGCTTCTGTCAAACAGTTTAACCGAACGTAAACAATCATTTAAGAGTGCTCCAAGCAGTTTTTGAAGCTTTTAACCAAATGGCAATACAATTACATTCTTGTACAACTCTGGAAGCTATTATTCGACGTTTGATCAACTCAGGTGTTTTATAAGAGCTCCAAATGGTTTATTTTGATGCGTTTATTCCACGTTCTGTATAGCTCTTGTGAATCAGTTTAACTAAGGTGCTATAAAAGTTATCGTAGGTCTTATAAAGCATATAGGTAAACCGAACGTAAACAATCATTTAACAGTGCTCCAAGCAGCTTTTGAAGCGTTTAACCAAAAAGGCAATACAACTACATTCTTGTTCAACTCTGGAAGCTATTATTCAACGTTTGATCAACTCAGATGTTTTATAAGAGCTCCCAATGGTTTGTTTTGATTCGTTTATTCCACGTTCTGTATAGCTCTTGTGAATCAGTTTAACCGAACGTAAACAATCATTTAAGAGTCCTCCAAGCAGTTTTTGAAGCTTTTAACCTAATGGCAATACAACTACATTCTTGTACAACTCTGGAAGCTATTATTCAACGTTTGATCAACTCAGGTGTTTTATAAGAGCTCCAAATGGTTTGTTTTGATGCGTTTATTCCACGTTCTGTATAGCTCTTGTGAATCAGTTTAACTAAGGTGCTATAAAAGTTATCGTAGGTCTTATAAAGCATATAGGTAAACCGAACGTAAACAATCATTTAACAGTGCTCCAAGCAGCTTTTGAAGCGTTTAACCAAAAAGGCAATACAACTACATTCTTGTTCAACTCTGGAAGCTATTATTCAACGTTTGATCAACTCAGGTGTTTTATAAGAGCTCCCAATGGTTTGTTTTGATGCGTTTATTCCACGTTCTGTATAGCTCTTGTGAATCAGTTTAACCGAACGTAAACAATCATTTAAGAGTCCTCCAAGCAGTTTTTGAAGCTTTTAACCAAATGGCAATACAACTACATTCTTGTACAACTCTGGAAGCTATTATTCAACGTTTGATCAACTCAGGTGTTTTATAAGAGCTCCAAATGGTTTGTTTTGATGCGTTTATTCCACGTTCTGTATAGCTCTTGTGAATCAGTTTAACTAAGGTGCTATAAAAGTTATCGTAGGTCTTATAAAGCATATAGTTAAACCGAACGTAAACAATCATTTAAGAGTGCTCCAAGCAGCTTTTGAAGCGTTTAACCAAAAAGGCAATACAACTACATTCTTGTACAACTTTGGAAGCTATTATTCAACGATTGATCAACTCAGGTGTTTTATAAGAGCTCCCAATGGTTTGTTTTGATGCGTTTATTCCACGTACTATATAGCTCTTGTCAATCGGTTTAACTAAGGTGCTATAAAAGTTATCGTAGGTCTTATAAAGCATATAGGTAAACCGAACGTAAACAATCATTTATGAGTGCTCCAAGCAGCTTTTGAAGCGTTTAACCAAAAAGCAATACAACTAAATTCTTGTTCAACTCTGGAAGCTATTATTCAACGTTTGATCAACTCAGGTGTTTTATAAGAGCTCTCAATTGTTTGTTGGGCAATTACGGAAAGAGCAAGAACACAAGGCAGGTGTAAATGAGGAGCATGTTTCGGATCTGATTGTGGCAGGAGAGAAGATCAAAGACAAAAGCATGAAGCAAACAGGAAGAAATTACTTTTTCAGAGGGGGGAGGTGCTGGAGGCTCCGGAATAGATTCAAAGCCCCTCCCCCCCTCACTGTGCTAAAGTATCAGAAATGCCCAGTTGCTACAGTTTTCCGAGTGTGTAGTTCTACAAGTAGACGTATTGTAGAGCAATTCATATAGAAAATTATATGATTGCCTATAAACGGTTATGTTTTAACACCTTTTCTGTTTAAGACAAGACTGTTGGCTTTTTAAATAACCGGGAATTGAAAAATTGAATTTGAAAGGGCACCCTGCAAATTGAAACAAAGCTATACCTCTCCATTTCTGATGTGCTATATCTCGATATTCCTTCCTACCTCGATGGTTTGAGCAGTCCCTTTAGACTCTCCTATAAATCTAGCTCTCTATATCTCGATATTGAGCAGTTCAACGCCAAAAAAAAATACCGTGTGTATTTTTCCCAGAATTACTGTTCTTTTCTAAACAACTTTATCTCAGACGTCAAAAGTAACGTTTTAGTGCTACAATTTATTGAAAAATGTCAAAATGTCAAATGGCCGATTTTTTGTGAACGATTGTCCATGACATAAGTTGTAAAGTTTCATGCAAATAGTAAGAGTCTTACATTTTTATTCTTTTATCATTTTTTTTTCTTCTGTTCGGGACATAATACTACTGCGACCAGTAATTTGATCTATTGTAGTATATCCCGTGTCCTTAGTTTAGTGCATGTCGTATTGCTCCATCACTATTGAGAAATGATGAAGTATTCGGTTTTCATACAGTTGTCATTCTTGCCTTCATCGCAAGGACATCGACATTCTTTTATCATATTTGGCCTGGTCTATTCTCTCTATCTCGATCGTTCCCTAGTTCTCCGTTTGAAGTGTGTACTTTTTGGATCGTTTTTTTTTTCTGTTTAGAGTGATATATGTTAAGTTGTCTTAAGTGCGTGGTATTCTGCTCTCTGACTCCTGGTGTACTGTTCGAATAACTTACTTTTTTACAGGATATACTATGTCGTCGAAACGTAAATCAGAACCTGTAAAAAAAACCCCGAAGCGGAATAAGAAAAATGTAGACGACAATTACAGTTCAGATTTTAGCGATGATTACAAATCAGACGAGGCCCCGGTCGCAGAAATCATTATTCCATCCGATGATCCCAACAGCTATCAAAAACTACCAGATGATCTGTTAAAGACCTACGACAAGGAGCCCGGAAAACTGCTAGTCGCTGGAATGGTTACTTGGGAAATGACAGGTCGAAAAGCTACCGCTAAAGGTGTTACAAAAATACGACCAAATCTTTGTTCCTTCCATCGGTTCACATCTGAAACAGTAAGAAAGATATAATTTATATTAACATAAAAATAATAAAACTAAAACACTATTTCAGTACCGTTCAGCGTTAAGTGGATGTTGTTCAGCACATTCTGTGCTTATAACAATGGACAGAAAAGCCCTAGCATTTGGTAAGAATTAGAAGCCCCGCACAAAAACTAAATATTGAATAGTGCCTCTTTCATGGCGGTAAGCTCCAACTCGGATTAACTTTTAATACCGTCCCTGTTTGTATGATCTGAAAAATGTTTGCTCAGAGTTATATTGAATAGCTCTGATGTCGACATCAAACCAGCCGGACATTCTTGATCGGGATTTAATTCGAGGATAATACCGGTTGGAGCTTACCACCTTCAGAGCTTTTTAATCAGGGGCGATTCAAATATGAGGTAATAGAATTTGTGACAGTACGTGTAATAGGTATAGGAAAAAGCGTGACACATGGGGAGGGGGTGGGTGGGCGTATTAAAAATCGATTTTTTTGACGTAGGACTACGTCTTTGATTTCTATATGGGGGTACACTTTGTGAAAACCGAAAATGGAACATGTAACAAATTAAGAATGATTTTGAACGTTAATAACTCAGCTGCCCCTGGTCCAATTTCAATAATTTTATCACCAATCGATCAGAAATATGGCTACGCATGGATAACAAATGTTGATGTTCAACAAGAAACTATTGAAAAACTGGTAAATGTTCAGCATTGTCCAAAAGCGTCGAATTAACTAACAAATCCACCAATTATCTACATGCATATGCTGCTTCCCCAGCACAGTCGTCAGAGAGTAGTAAGTAGACGAAACAAGTCGAAGTGGCATTCGCCTCCGATCCTCGGGCGCGTGCGAATAGGGAGGATGGAATTGCGTAATATTTTGCACACTCATCGCCATATTCAGAACCAAACGCAAATTCTTCAAGATAACCACCGTTGTCTGGCTCGCCGTGGCGGTGTCTGACATATCTCCGGTTTGATTTACGAGGTGTGCTGAAGGTGTTCCTGAAAAATGAGATCCGTGATGCTGTCACCTACACTAAACACGCCAAGCGTAAGCGGCCATGGATGTCATTTACGTTTTGAGACGCACTCTGTTTGGTTTCGGAAGTTAAATCATCTTTATCAACAAAACGGCTCTTTTCAGGGCCACCAAGCTTATTGCAGTAAAGAGTAGGAATAGAATTCATCTGCCTGTTTGTTCATATTCAGAACCAACGACCACACAAAATGCTCATGTAATCAAACTGGAAGCAGGGGTACAAATTATTTTGATCAACCTTGATCAACTTTGAATCGCCACGGCCGGATATTCTGATGGAAGAAGCAACAATCTAGCATCTAATTCGACGAAAACGGCAGGAAACATTTGTGAAGCCGAGGTATTTACGAAAGAGAGTGTCGATGAAGAGAATCGATTAATGTAGATAGGACCTATTGAAAAGTGACGCGAGATTTGTTTTCCGTACTGAGCTCCAATGCTACCGACGCCAGGGATGCAGCTTCCAGAGATGTTATGCCTTAGAACATGCCGGTGGCGCCGATTTAGATTGGACCCAGGCCTGCTGGGTGAAAGGTAACCACGCTAACCACCGGCGCCGATATCTTTCAAGGTGATATCACGGCGAATTAGATCGACCCAAATTTGAGTTTAGTTATCTCAAAAATAAGAAATAAAGTGCAGGAACTCAGCGATGAGTAAATTTGGCTCATGGATTTTCCAGGGAAAAATTCCCGAATTTGAGAAAAGTAAAGATTGGATTCACTCAGTCTATTGGTACTACTCCGAGCTGAATAAAATTTTCGTCAATTTCCTCATTTTCTGACAGATTTTTTAGGTTTTCCATAGGAAACCATGAGATTAATTTTACTCATCGCTGAGTTCCTACACTTTTGGCGATTATGAGTGAACTAAATTAAAATTAGGGTCGTTCTCATTCGCCGTGTACGCAAAAAAAAAGGGCCAGTGTCGCTACTTGATAGCAAACTACTCATAATGGGAGGAGTCTTTTTAGCTTTTTTACCACTTGGTTGCACATCATTCTGCTTTAACCTAAAAAGATATAAAGCAGCGCTGCTGTCTGGTATCAGCTCATTTTCGCTTCGGACGGCGTGGTCAGCAATAGCAGCAGTAGGAAGGTGGTTAGTCCACTTTTCTATAACCCAACAAGCAACAATTGACTGTTTGTGGCAAAGGAGGTGCCAATCGTCATCGCAAATTCTTCGAGATAACCACCATCCGTCGTCTGGCTCGCCGTGGCGGTGTCTGACGTATCTCCGGTATGATCTACGAGGTGTGCTGAAGGTGTTCCTGGAAAATGAGGTCCGTGATGCTGTCACCTACACTAAACACGCCAAGCGTAAGTGGCCATGGATGTCCTCTTCAATAAAACGGCCCTTTTCAGGGCCATCAAGTTTACATCAGTAAAGAGTTGGCTTGTGCTTGTTTGTCCATATTCAGAACCACAAGCCCCCAATGACCACACAAACTTGGAAGCAGGGGTGCAAGTGATTTTGATTGATTCTCGTAATCAACTTTCTCTTTGAAAAAGATTACTACAAATTTGGTACGCCTACAATTCAAAAACGGAAAGAGTTGAGATAATAGATAATTTTGATCAATTAAAAGAACTTAATGCTCTTCACATTTATTCCGTCCACTAGCGGTCCTACGTCAAGCTTCCGTTCGTGCCCCTAGGCACAGACCCTTCTCCTTTTTTGGATGTCCAATGAATCGCCCTTGGTCACTTTTTTCAAGCCGGTCATCAAAAGCAATTTTTTAACGTCCGAATATTTTACTATAATTGCAGCTCTTATATGTTTGCTTAGTTCATAGTACGTTTATGTAATGCAGGGTGTCGACTAAGTCATTTCATTTTTGGACTAGAAAATCAGGAAATCGCAGCGAAATATTTCTTAATCCAGAAACTTATTAATAAGTATCACTAGTTTTAAACACTGAATTACTCGGTGTAGTTTGAGGATGATTGTTCATTTTAAATAGAGTGGCGATTTGCAAGTTGACCCAAAACTACTCAAATAAAAGAATATTTCGTTGATTTTGGGCCTAACATACATTCAGTTCAGTTGGCACATTCCTGAGTTGAACTGAGATCCTTATGATTGATAAAAATCCATATCCGTAGAAGCTAGACGTTGTTATTTTTTGTAAAATTTAACCTAAAAAATGGGTACGAGCGTCTCTTAATATGCTACACCTAATTTCAGGTAACCTTCGAACAAGCCTGGAAAAATAAACTCATTATAAAAAAAAATAAACCTCGAAATTTTCCAGAGGTGAACCAGCCTTTAGGATGAAAACCTCTTAAATAAAGAAAAAATAAACCTTCGAAATCAATTCTTTGAGCGGATTGGAGTACCTTTGTGTAAATGCAATAATGGTAAAGATTTAAGAGGAGTGAATGTTTTTTATGTAAATATCTAATTCTTGTTCCTTATTGTGATCTTTGCTACTTAGCTCAGAGAATCAACTAAATTTGAATTTAGGATAATAGTCTTGCTTGGAAGGACTCTTTTGATTGCTTGGAGTATTTTTTTTTAAATAATAATTCAAAGATACGTAGACAAGCATTGGTTTGGCTTTGTTGAGTATTCTAGGTCTTCATTGTAAATCTTGTTAGCTCGGAAAATTAGCTTCTTAGTGATGTTTTAGTATTGTGATGTTGCTGGTTGCTGCTATTGCAATTGAGATATAATCAACTCACTGAATTTTGGAGATGAAAGCGCTGTTTTTACGATTTCCGGATTGGCGTTTGATTAAGCTTAATATCCGCAATAATTTTCTTGCGAAACTGGATCTCAAAATGTTATCAAAAGAAAAACAAGAAATATAATGGGATTAAAGATAAATAAGATGTAGGTGGTGATTTGTTGCCTCTAGTGTTCAGTTTGGAAATAGCAGAAAACAACTTTTAAGGGTAACGGCGCCGGTAGTGTAGTGGTAAGCGTGATTACCTCTCACCCCAACAGGCCTGTGTTCAATACCAGTCGGCGCCGCACAGTGGCACGAATATGAATAAAGACGGTCAAAAATATTTTCTACCCTTTTTCGACGTTTTAGAGACTGGGTGTCTTGGGAGAAGTTGCTCAAAATTATGACTCGCATCTTTTGAAATACACACCTGAATAATCTTTAAGCTAGTACACTGAAGTCTTTTTTACACGGTTTTTTTTTACGCGGTTTTTTTTTACACGGTTTTTTTTACACGGTTTTCCACGATTTACACGGTACGTTTTTAACGATTTCTCGACAACGATACAACCTATCGACTTGATTCCAATCACATTATCCGTTTCAAGCTATTTGTAATCGAATGGCATACTTAAAAAAAAAATCGCAATTTTTGGTGTAAATACAGAAGTTTTTAAAATATGTCTATATGGACCATATCATGTTTTAATTACAAATGGCATCAAAATCCGATTTTTTAAAAACATTTAAGCATGCGAAAAATCAAAATCTCGTAGGTTTTTTTTTACACGGTTTTTTTTTACACGGACCGTATCCCCCGTGTAAAAAAAGACCTGAGTGTATTACACATCCAAATTCTAACTTTATCCAGTTACGAGATAATGGTTCCATGTCTTAGACAAAGTTGCAGAGCAGTTGATTTTATGAACATTTGCTAAAGACACCAAATTTCTACATCATAACTCTCTAGAGCCATAATAGATTTTGTTTTAAGACTACCTTAATATTGGTTTTTTAAGTTAATTAGTGCTTTTTTCAAATTTGACCAATTTATCATGTTGTAAGAAATTGTTGGCATCATTAAAATATACAACTTTGCTGAATACACCAATGCTCTTCATTGACATCAATGTGATATACAGCCCATCAAGCGTTTTTGTGACGTCATATTCAACGGCTCGAAAAGAGGGTGGGCGGGCCCTGATGTAGTCGAAAACTGATTTTATTTGGAAGATCACCTTATAAAATAGTACTCCTGAAAATTTGAGCGTTGGGTACCGAGGGGCACACTAATCGAGTCAGTACGGTTTTACTGAGTTTTTGAATTGCGGAACTGTTCGGTAAAAGTTTAAAAATCTGTGGAAAATTTATTAATAAGAAAATTTGTTCTGAACTTGTGTATACTTAGTAATGTTAACCCCATTTAATGATAAAAAATAAAATTGGTCGATTTCATTGATTCCTTACGGATAACGGTCATTTGAATTTTTACCGACTTTTTCAGCAATTCAAAAACCCAGTAAAAAAATACTGACTCCTGTAAAAAAATCTTAGTGTGGGTACCTAGTCAAATCTCGTTTATATATATTTAGTACAAGTTATAAACCAATGTGTGCTACGAGTGTGCTACTTACTCATGATAAAATTTACAACTATATAAAAAATGCATTATCTTGAAATATAATCAATGGGTTTGTTCATCAACTGTATATTCTGAACTTTGATATTTTGAGTATGCCAATATTGAAAAAAATATGTTTTAATTACTCCTTACCTGACTATCTTCGATAATATTTCCGTGAATCTTCTCCGCCCACACTTTGAACAATTCCATCCGACAAAGATTGAATGAATTAATTTTGAACCACAACTTCAATACAAGTTGTTCGTGAAAAAAATCACACCTAGATAATTAAATAAACCCTATCGCTCTTTGCTATCGCCAAAACGTCAAGCACAAAATAGTCATCTGCAGCAGCGTTCAGCGATGTGCACGCGGGAATTTCAAACATCTGTTGTGAAGTCACGTTCTATGTTCTGAAAAGAGGGTGGGGTGGGTAGGTCCAAAGTTGGAACCGTAGTCAGAATTTTATCATTTAATCTAGTTGAAAGTTATACCGATAGGTATTGCGAATATTTTAGTCCATATTGTATATAATAAAGGGCAAGGAATATACCAATATTATTAGCTTGCATTATAATATTTGCAACTATCAACAAATGAGTATCAATATTGCAATGAATGTACATATCAATGTAGGTACACTGAATAACAAACAAATTAAGAAAAAACCCATTAAATACATCTCCAGATTAAGCTTAATAATTTAAATAATTTGCAAGTTCAAACACGTGTAGGTTAAAATCATTGATTCATAACTCAATACCCAACGCTGAACTTTTCAGGAGCACTATTTTATAATGTTATCTTCGATATTCAATCGGTTTTAATCCCTGCCAGGGGCCGCCTCCCATCTTTTCGGGCCGTTCAATATGGCGTCACAAAACCGTCCGATGGGCTGTATATAATATTGACATTTTCGAATCGAGATTTGACTAGGTACCCCTCAGTACCCAACGCTGAAATTTTCAGAAGTACTATTTTATAAGGTAATCTTCAAAATACAACCAGTTTTAGACCCCGCCAGGGCCCGCCCACCCTCTTTTCGAGCCGTTGAATATGACGTCACAAAAACGCTTGATGGGCTGTATATCACATTGATGTCAATGAAGAGCATTGGTGTATTCAGCAAAGTTGTATATTTTAATGATGCCAACAATTTCTTACAACATGATAAATTGGTCAAATTTGAAAAAAGCACTAATTACTTAAAAAACCAATATTAAGGTAGTCTTAAAACAAAATCTATTATAGCTCTAGAGAGTTATGATGTAGAAATTTGGTGTCTTTAGCAAATGTTCATAAAATCAACTGCTCTGCAACTTTGTCTAAGACATGGAACCATTATCTCGTAACTGGATAAAGTTAGAATTTGGATGTGTAATACTAGCTTAAAGATTATTCAGGTGTGTATTTCAAAAGATGCGAGTCATAATTTTGAGCAACTTTCTCCCAAGACAGCCAGTCTCTAAAACGTCGAAAAAGGGTAGAAAATATTTTTGACCGTCTTTATTCATATTCGTGCCACTGTGCGCCGCCGGGATGTTCTGAGGCATAACATCCCTGATCACGCCTTCCTTCGGATGGGAAGTAAAGCCGTTGGTCCCCGGTTCATGAGTTAATGGGTCGATAGGTAGGGTCCAGGTGTGGGAGCTGCCTTCCTGGCACGTCGGTAGCATTGGTGCTCAGCACGGAAAACAAGATCGACGGAAAAAACAAACCAGAGGAAAAAAAAAAGAGCATTCATGGTTTTGACGTGAGCTGTCAAATTTGGCAGCTGGGTCAACAAAAAATATGATTGTTTTTAAAAGAAATTTTTTGTTGATTCAATCAAATTTATTTTATTAAGCCTGAAAATATAGGCAGTAGAAATAAAAATATGTTTATTGATTCAATGTTTTGTTTTCTTTTAGTATCAATCAAAATTACAATTGAATTAAAAAAAAACTTTTCTGAGGCATAAAATCACTCCGGTTCATGAGTTGATGGGTCAATAGGTAGGGTCCAGGTGTGGGAGCTGCCTTCCTGGCGTCGGGAGCATTGGTACTCAGTACGGAAAACAAGATCGACGGAAAAAAAAATCAAGGAAAGAAAATAAAGAAAAACTGTTTATATTTCGCAACTGCAGCATACTTACTTACCTCAAGTCTCAAGATTTTCGGAAATGTTGCACTTATTTCCCGAAATTAACTGTTAAAAACAACAATCAAACAAGAGCAGTTTTGTGTACGAGGGAATGGTTGGTAGTTATTTTTGCAATCATGGCCCGGGGAACGGACCCAACAAATAAATGCTAAATTAAAATGAATTATTGTTGGCTTAATAAAAGAATATTGTTATTTTAACAATAGTTGCAGTTGAAGAGTGGCTTATTAAAATAAAAAGAATCTTATTTTGAATAAGTATTATCGAAACAATAAAACGCAATACAATTTCAACCGGAATTGTTTGTTTAAATACAAATAAAGTTTTTTTTGGTTCAATGCAAACAATTTTCTGTCCGTGTAGGGAACAACGAATAGAATATTAGGAATTACATAGATGAAGTCTAACTCATTTTTCCTTGTTTCAAGATCATCCTCGGCGGACAAAGCCGAGTCTTGTCACTATAAACAAGGCATAAAAAGTAACAAGGACTAAGATGTGTTCCTTTTATTACTGAAAAATCGTGTTCCCCTAGTTTGAAGTAGTCAGGACCAGAAATCGGTGTAATGTACCACGAAAAGGTGATCTACCCACGTTACGTGGTACTTGCTGCACTTAAGTTGAAAGTTAATGCTTTTCCGTTGATACTGACTCCACACCCGTTCGAACCACACCCAAATTCAAAATGCACCAATACTAGCAAGCATTGCAAATTAGCAAAATGGGAAGTATTTAAATTTTGCCATTAGTCGTAAATACAATATTATTGTATAATTAACTTAATTCTACTACTGAAATTTAAATTTAATTTCCACACACTCAGATTTTTTGCCGAGATGGGCACCACCCAGCAGCTCGGCAATCTTAAGGTAGTGGAATTAAATGGAAATTACTAATCCTTCTCTCTCTCTCTTTAACTTTATAGAAATTATGTCTTTCAATCCAGGAAATGGTCGACTGATGTCATCTCTAAGATACGCATATACTATCTTACCATGCACATTTGCACTATATGAAGATCGTCCTGCTTTTGAAAACCGCTGCAGTCCATCATGTGACGAATGGCTTCTTCAAAATGTTATTTATGTTGATAAATGAATTTTAGGCAACAACTTGAGGATTTAATTTTTTTTGTACTTTATCCGCTTTGAAAAGCAGATTTTAATTCAACAAAGCAGATTCGAAATCTTCGTACGCATCAGTAACCTTATCGGGAAACTAGTTCCTTATTATGCCCACAATTTTGAATACATTTCGCCAACTGTGGAACCACGAATTACTGCTAGAAGGATGCAGTCGTGATGTTTTTGTATCCATAGATATTCCCAAAAATACGGCCAGTGCTCCTATTCTTTCCAAGTTTAACGTGTTGGCCGGATCATTCAAAGACTGAACAGATTCCATAGAAGACGCAGTTTCTGTTCTGAGTAACACCGCAAAGATTTCTTTACTCCTTTGTGGCCATCTATTTCGAAGGGATTACAACAATATGCTTGCACGTTGTAGTACGCTACCTTATCGGTGAGTAGTCTTGTGGCAGTGTAAAATTTGTTTTAGTGTTAAAGGTCTTGGAAGTGATTAATTGAAATGTTTGAGTAATTAAGAACTTCCGTAAATTTGGCTTTCTGCAGAATAAACATGGTGAATTGAATAGTCTTGCGTCCGATTTTTAACATACTATTTGATGAGTTCCTATAACCAACTGATTACTGACTGATACTTCAACAAGCTTAACAGCTCTCTTTATTCAAATCAGGTATAATATCTTCAACACATATCTATCTATACCTAAAAACGGTTTTTAACGGCGTTATTAGGTATAGATAGTGACGATGATCACCCGAACGATCTGTTTCATAATGTCGACCAGATCGTTTTTAGACGTTTCAACTTGGGCGACTCCTTGATTTTCTTATAATATAGATGGGTACGTAGATATTTAAGCTACTACGCGTACGGACGCACAGTGGTTCCTGGCTGGCCAAAACCTCAAAAATTAATGTTGATATTTTTTTATTTCAATATTTTTTATCAGTTGTCCCACAGCTGTCTACAGCAGCAGTCGATTTTTTATTTCGTTGTGAACCACATGATAGCCTGTTTTCGAGAATCGCTATTATATAGTTGCTCTTTGTTCGTTGCTAGCAGTTCGGTGCCTTTTGTTGCTACGGTGCAAGATGTGTGAAGTAAAAAACACCATCAAGTTTAGCTTCAGCCATTGTGATGCCAAACCAAACATCGGAGAGATAGTAAATTTCGCCAAAGCACTCGACGCGAATCCGGCTGAAATGGAAGCTGTTTATCGCATTGGTGAGGAAAGGGGAGTCTTCATGAAGTTCAAATCAGAGGAAGCGATGCTCCATTCTCTGACATTCAATTCGGAGGATTTAATCTTCCATTATGCGAATGGAACGACGGCAAAGGTACGCATGTCGCATGCTGGTGAATTCATTCAATATGTGCGTGTGTATGACTTGCCACCAGAGGTACCCGACAACGAGCTGGATAAAGTGCTGGGGAAATATGGGAAAATTAAACGCATCATCCGGGAGAAATTTCCAACTGATCTGTGTTTTGAGGTATATACAGGGATACGCGGTGTATATATGGATGTGAAGAAGGAAATCCCCACGTCATTACATTTCTTCAATGGCAAAGGAAATATTTTTTATGATGGCAACAAAGATAAATGTTTTCTGTGCAAGGCGGACGGACACCGGAAGCTTTCCTGTCCCAAGCGGAAGGCTCGGAAGGAACCGGAGAAGCAACTGAAGGAAAAAGGAAAGCAAAGTGAAAGAAAACAAAACAGCAGCAGCACGTATGCTGGTGTAGTGGTGGAAGGTGCGTCGTTGGTCATTAGCGATCAGGAAACGGACATGGGGTTGGAGATGTTGAATGAAGATAACGAAATGGACGTGACTACCCCGACGACCGACGAGAGTAGCGGAGAGCATGCAATGGGAAACGATGTTCAGAAACAGCAGCAGCGATCACGATTCGGGTTCAATGAAAATGAGGAACAAATTCGGGAAAGAAAGAAGTTGCGTGCACGGGAGAAGATCGCTTTGTCGTCGCTTCGATCGCCACCCAGAAAAATCATATGATAAAATATATTTGTACATATTTTTTTTTTGTATTTTGAGTACCATAATTGGTATTCTATGTTACTCGGCTCCGCTAAGTTATTTTTATAACATTTGAGCCTGCCAAATAAACGAAGTGAAAAAAAAAATATATTTTTTATCATTTTTACATGGTAAGAGTATCTTAAATTGAATGATTTGTGCAATTCTGTTGATTCAATATTTCTTTTATGGCTGTTATAGTGTAACGATATCAAATTTTTTTGAAAAAATCGTAATGTTTCTTGTTACTGTTTTGCTCAAATATAGCAAAAAATATTGTGTTTATAAACTTGGTTGCTTCAGAAGAAATGTTTTTCGGCTTATTTCACGTCAAATGGATGGTAAAAAAGAGTGTCTTAGTGTTTTTAGTGACAGTTTCTGATATAAAAATTAGCAAAAATATACTTTTTTCGCATTTAGACTAAGCAAAACATATGACGGACACATCCGCCCACTATCATTTAGAAACCAAAAGATAGCTAGAAAAGTTAGCTTTCAGATAGGTTTTAATGTGTTTTGCGATTTTTTGCGAAATATGTTGAAATTAGGAATAACATGTGTTCTTTGAAAATATCTGTTTCTAAGTTATATAATCTGCGGTGTATACCGTAGCAAGCTTCACAATGCCTTTTTCAAAGCACAGCAATACGCACACACATACACACACGCACCATAAATCTATCTCTTATGGTTCATGAGTTATGATTTTTTTAAACAAGCAGGTTAGGGTGGCCCCTAGACAATCGGCATTCTTTAAATATCTTTTTATACGTTCATTTCTCGTGAAATTTTCATACTTTAAGAACTTTTTATGACGCATATTTTTGCTAAGTTGTTATCTCTTTTATTTGAAAAGTTATGACTAGTTTTGCTGAAAAATATTACTTTTTTTTAATCTAATTAAATGCTTTAAACATAAAAAGGTCTTGCAGATTTGTTTTACCAAAAATGAAAAAAAAAAACGATGTTTCCAATGAAGTTAAATGTTTGAAAATCGGTTTGCTCCATTTTGAGATATTGACAATTGAAGAGAATCATTTTTTCAAAGAAAGTAGCCTTTAACTTTCTAATCAAAAAAGATAGTAACCTAGTTGCTATGCGTCATCAAAAGTTCTAAGTGTAATCAGAACAATGTTTTTGCAAGAAATTAACGCATGAAAAGATATTCAAAGAAAATCGATTTTAGTGACCACCCTAACCTGCTTGTTTAAAAAGTCATAGCTCATGAACCATAAGAGATAAAAATGTTGTGTCTTCTACAAAGTTGCTTTGAATTTAATGTTCTACACTGCTTTGGTCTATTTCAAATAATAAATAGTTTGTATGTTTAATTCACCAATTTTATGAACCACCCTAATTTTACGAACATAAAAATATTGAACAAAACATATGCAGCAACTTTCCCTAAGAAACCATGTACCTAAAACTGAAAGTTTGGGCGCAAACATTTTTGTCTTCCTAGGTAAATACTGCTGGGACCATTGTGCATTGGTTTTGGTTCTACTTTACTCCTTTTTGTGACGTCTTGATTGTCAAGTTTTCTTCGTACAGCTAAACAACATCTATTTCAACTGTTTTTTGCCTATTAGCAACAATTTTGAGGTTTTGGCCAACTTTTGTTCTAAGGGGAACCACTGTGGGACGGTGTGCGAGGAGAAAAGTGCTAGACCGGTCATCAGTTTTTTGGGCATATCTCAATAACGGTATAAGATATCATCTTAAAATGTTCACCGAAAAAAGCTTATAAAGCTTGATAACAATCCATGATACAGACGATAATCTCCACAGCTTTTCTTTTGGATTTTCTTTAATGGTGAAAACTTTCATGATAAATTCGTTTTCAACTGTACTTTTTGTTAATTGACTTTGACTTGCAATGCTTGGTTCAAAAGTTATTATTTTTTGAAGTTGGTGGTGTCCGAGAAAATCGGAAAACTTTAACTAAGGTATTCCGGAAAAATTTGCAACCGTTTTTTTTTTTTTGAAATTTACTTTTGTTAATATATCCATGAACTATACCTATGGGCGACGTTTCATAGAAGTCGAAGACCCTTCAGCCCAAACCTGTTCGGTAATTAAAAAAAAAAACCAGATAAGACTTCAATATTTCATTTGGTATGTTTAGATAACTCCAAGACCAGAAGGTCCCGAAGAAACGTTCAACTTTTTGGCTCAGATCTGGTACTCTCTTCGGCCCCAAGTTAATCGATGCACCCCTCAAAACATAGTAAAATCCACGAACCCCTCATTTTATCTGTCAAATATTCATATCGAATCAATTGAATCACGCTGTAATACACGACACAATAACTCTTGGCCAGAAAACAATCCAAAGATCCTATCAAGACAGAGACTTAGGTGTTATTCTCGACTCCAAGTTAACCTTTGCTGACCACTACAATAACATTATCTACAAAACATTTATTTATTTTTTTTAAAGGCTTTATTAAAGAGATTTTTAGCCTTAGGCTAGTTTATCTCTAATCTACAAAACAATCAACCTGCTCGGGTTCATTAAAAGATTTAGTTTGCACTTCAATGACCCCTACACAATCAAAACACGTTACGTAGCATATGTGAGGCCTCTTCTCGAATATTGTATCATAGTTTGGGCTCCATATCTTATCAGTGCTGCAAAATCTCGACAATACACGGTGATATTCAAAATTCTGCTTTGGTCACTCATTTGAGCTAACAGTCATCGTCAAGGCAAACCATGTCAATTGTCATTGACAATGCTGTCAGTGACGAACATGTGCAGATTTTATTATTAGCTAAATTTGTAACGAAATTAAATGACTTCAGTAAAACAATTACATGGAGCCGTTAAAGTGAACAAGCATCTACGTCCTGAACTGCTTGGATAACAATCATGCACGAAATTACAGTTTTTGTTACCAGGTGAATCTTTGTCATTGACGAAAAAATGAATGAGATTTTGACGAAGATTTTTTTTATCAACAATTTTGTCAATATCGTGCGAAAGTTTGTCATTGACAATGACAAATCTCAGCACTGATCATGATACACATGTAAACCGCATTGAATTAGTTCAAAATCAGTTCTTTGTTGTTTGCTCTAAGAAAGTTGGGTTGGACGAGTTTTCCACTTCCATCTTATGAAGTTCGCTATGGTTGCTTTTATAAACGTAAAGTAAAATTGTAAATTGAAGTAAAATTGTAACAATTAGCGTTTAAGTAAAATTGTAAAACGGTCTACACTGATTGACGACAAATAAATAAATAAAACAAACATAGTGTAGTACTAAAATTTCGACTAGAATGAAGTACGTTAATCGATTTGCTTGGGGCCAATAGACTAGTCAAATAGTGAACCAATTTAAAATCGTTAGTTTCCACCGGTTGGAAGCACTTTAAAAACAATACCCGTCCCATTGTCTACTATGGGTATTTGTTCATGCTGTGTGGACAGGAATCGATCTCTTCTTATCGATGTTTTTGATAACGCCGTGAGAGAGGATGTATAACAGATGATGAGTTGGGTAATTGGTTACCATAAACGGGATATACTTGAAAAAATTGGTGGCGCATTTTGTCGGTATCGCCTCGAACTTTTGTAACAGATGTTCGCAATTTCCTTCGGATCCCTAGTGGTGCCACTTCCTGTGTTGAAAGCGTTTCAGGAAGTCATCCAATATTTTACGCTTGGCGGAACGAGTTGTGTCCCGGCAAACATTGCATTTTATTTAATTATTTATTTGTCGTCAATCAGTGTAGACCGTTTTACAATAGTGCTGTTGCCTTACATGCTATTTTAAAACATACGTTTTATTGGAAATTGTCAATAAATGTAGACTGCATATACAAATATCTAAAAAATAAAAATTGTTTTAAACTTAACGAGATGAAATCCTAGCAGTTAGTGTTCTCCTTACTGTATCTTTAGGCATCGTTAGATCTATACGCTCACAATAATTATTATACATTATCATCATTCTATTGACTGGTCCATTCATACCATAATTCGAACTGTGAGGTGACAGTTGAAATACATTTCGAGTTCTTAACATGCGTGATGGTACGTAAAAAATTAAGCTTGCTATTATTTTTCTGAATTTACGCGTTGTGAGATTATATCATTAATAAAGGAAAATTTATCTTCGTTTCTTAAGTGTTTCAATGTTTATCAACATGCAACGGGACTCATAAGAAGGAAGGGGAAAAGAGGTCCAGCCTAGTTTCCTAAGAGCAAATAACAAAAACTGTTTTTGAACTGATTCTATACGAATTATATAAGTTTCATGGTATGGAGCCCAAACCACACTGCAATATTCGAGAATTGATCTGACGTAAGCTATATAAAGTGTTTTGATGGTATATGGGTCTTTAAAATGATAACTAAATCTTTTTATGAATCCCAACATATTATTTGCTTTGCGAATTGTGGTATTCACATGATTTACAAATGTCAACTTCGAGTCAAGAATTACTCCTAAGTCTCTAATTTTATCGCACCTTACAACTAGCTGGTTTCCTAGAGTACATGTAAAATCTAGAGTAGTGTGTTTTCTGAATAAGATATAATGTTGCATTTTTTAACATTAATATCCAGCAGACTTTTAACGCACCAATTGTAGAAAACATCAATTTATTTTTTTAAATGTAGCAAATCAGAATTGTTAAAGATTTCCATGTACAGTTTCATATCGTCAGCATATAGGGTTTTTGATCTAATTTCCGTCCTACTAAGCACACCCCGCGCTTCACCTCTCTCCTCTGAACGAGTTTAAACAAAAAATGGAATATTTCTGTCAAAAATTACTTTTAAATTTATTCACCTTTCCTTTGGATTTGATAAAGAGTCACCAATTGTTGAGATATTGATTAAAATCTAACACTGCTTCTTGATTCTAAATTCGTTCTACGAGTTTCAATTCCGTCCTAACGCATTGAAACGCCATTAGATTTTCTTCGTCCTACGGATAAACGTAGAAAAAGGAGATTCGCTAGGAGCGCTTCTTTTGTTTTGAGAACAATGAGCGTAAATATTCATACATTGCGCTCTAACAGGATTTATGTTGTAGCTAATGAACTAACGGTGAAATAATTGATAATATTGATCTTTTCTGATCGATAGAACGGAAATGGGCGATTACGACGAAGTAGCGCTCTACCCTATGAGCACATTTAAGAGATTCAACACAAACTTCATGTCATCCACAAATAAAATAAATAATAAAGGACCTAAATGAGATCCCTGTGGAACTCCCGAGGTAACATTAACTGGCGAGGACATTTTTCGTTTAAAGTGGACCATCTGTATTATTTCTGTCAAGTATGATCCAATCCATTTTAAAAGTGTACTTGTCATACCTAAACGTTTTAATTTAAAAAGAAGTAAGGGAATGTCTACTCTGTCAAAGGCCTTACTAAAGTTCAGATTTTAACCTGTAGTCTGCAGCTATAGCCTCGGCCATTTTATATCCGCAGGCGAATCGTAATAAGAGGTGGATGATGTCTTTCCCGGTTAAATAATATGAACCACTCGAGTGTAAGTTTCAGATTAGACTGAAGGTCTATTATATTTTCGTTTCATACAGAGCCCGTCGGCTCAACCGAAGGTGCGTACGAATTCAACATATGGCAATTGACATTTGATTATTCACAGTGTTTCGAATGTACAGGTAGTAAACAACAATTCTCCCCCTTTCAGAGTTTACAATATAATAATCTGATATTGACTTTGTCAAATAAACTATCGCACTAAATAAAGAAGTTGTTTCAAATTCTTTTCAA